ATTAAAGTCATTTTCTTGTTTGCTAGTAAGCTGAGTACTGCGACAAAAATATTTATTTACTTCCTTTTATCACAACTGTCATGTAAAAAGAATGCTTTTCAAAAAAAAACCTGCTGTCTCTCTCTTTGTATCATCACAAACTTCTGTTTTTTCTGCTTGCTTTATCAGCCCGGTTATTCGTCTTGGAAAGGATGTCCGTGGATTCTACCCTGGGCAAGTAGGACGTGTACATAAGGCACATGCATGCGAAGGACCTCCAGGGTAGGACTGAACATCAAATGAAACCTGAAAGAACTTGGGAATAAGCCTTTCTCATTTAAGCCTATCATGGACAACGTGGCAACAACTCAAATGATTTTTTTTTGACTTTGGCCTAAATGGGGAACAAGAGAACCCAGGCAGAGTAAAACAAAACTACATCCAAGATATTGGCCATGCCTGAAATACTGCATGACCCAAGTCCATTAGGCATCTGAAAATCCAAAATGGAAATTACTTTAAGTGATTTTTTTTCCCCTAAGAAATTTTGTTGTATTACATATCAACTCTGAACTATGCTTTTACATATTTATTTGGTGTTGTAGGCTATTTCAGTTGGAAACTCAAGCCTTTAATAGTTCTAGTAAAATTGAACTAAGTTACTTGTTCAACTGCAAGATATACATAATTTTCATGCAAGTTACAACAACCAGATGGAGCCAATTGACCAATACTGAATTATTAAGGTTTTACCATGTATATACTCGGGTTGTTAATATCTACTACATTACAACTGCATCATACTAAGTGCTCATTTCAGCAAGAAATTGGAAAGTACACTTATGATGTTGGCTACCCGTTAGGTGGATTGTGGCATTTACATACTACATGTCGGCATGAGATTGCAGAATGATATGTGTTTTCTGCCTAGACCTTTCTGCCAACTGCAACCGGCTCCAGGAAACAACGAAGCTGAAAAGCCTTTCCAACCAGACTTCGACAACTCAGCCCTCAGGCGGTATGTTCATTTTCAAAAGACAATGAAAAAGACCACCAGTGACTGGTACCAGCAAACTTCCTACAAAGCAGCATTTGATTTACCACTTCTCGATACGTGTAAGTTAACTGTGCCACTACTGTTCTTCCTGGAGCGAGGGTTGTGAGGATGAACCAGGGAGGTTCATTTGGGTGAATATATCCAAATAATCTTACACTTACCCTAAGGAGAGAAAAAAAAAATAGTAGTTCTGTTTCACTTCTGAAAAAATAGCTGCAACCACCACAAACTGCCAGGGTATCCCAGTCCCTGCTGTCACACGCAGAAGGCTCCCAGTGAACCAGAGCAAGACAAACTACTTATACTTGTGCAGATTGCTTTCTCTAAAAATAGAACATTTCTCAAACATGCAGTAAATTGCAGTAGTGTGTATAGAAAGAGCTAAATGGTGAATACCTGGATGTATGAACAAATTGATTCATCATTGAAGAAAATTATATAAAATAAGAAAATACACCAATTTGATACATTTATTCTAGTTCTAAATAGCTCCAAAACAGAAGTGAAAAACATTTGGATTTAACATGACATTATCTATTTGAAGCTGCATAAAAGACCTTTGCATATGCATCCATTGCAAGATACTTTAAAGATGAGATGTCAAATGAGATTGCAGTTATCCAGAATAAAGAATGGCATAAAATTCTGAGTTTCTGGAAATCATGCATCATCCATATCTTTGTGTATTAGGTAGGTATACAGAGCAGTCTACCTTAAATAGGTAAAGCTGTTACGCATGAAATGAAGTGTGCTTAATCCTTGTAGCACTAGGTTATAGTTTCAATATTTCAGAGGCTAGGAGCAGTACTGTGGGAAAACAAGCCACCTGACTAGCAAGTTCCTTTATTCCTAGTAACTCTGCCTTCTGATTTTTCTAAGCTAGATAAACTTTCGATGACTTGTTTGTTAAGGGTCGGTCTGTAACAGAGAATGGAAATGCTGATCTTCTATTACAAAGCACATTTCCAGGATGGTGACAGGCAAAAGCAGCTGCCATGCGTTATACCAGCATGTCTGGCTGCCACTTTATCTGAGGGCTTTGTCCATTAGCTGGTTGCCAACTCAATTACAGGCGGATTACAAATGCAAAGGCTCAGGCAGCAGGAGGATCCCTCACTTCCTCTCCTACTAGGTTATAAAGCAGGCTCACTAAACCACAGGGACGCAGGGGCTATTAAACCTGCAGTGCAGCACAAGCCTGGGACTATCGACCTGCTAAATATTTAAGGAGGAGCAAGAATGGCACGAGATCAGAATACCTCGCCCGTCGCCGGCCTGCTCAGGTCGCACAGGTCCTCCAAACACCCCATTAGTGGGAGTGGATGCTTGGCAGAGAGTCAATTTCAACTGTGATCCCGTATTGCCATCCGATCCACCTACAAGCTAGGACCAGAAGAGCCTGCAGGCCAGTAGATAAGAAGCATACAGGAAGGGCCTGAGAAATATATAATTGCCACTGAAAAAATATATTTAAGTACAAAGGTTTCCCTTTTATTGTGGTTTACTTATTCTGTAGGCCATGATAGACAACTGAGAGTCTTTTGCTAGTGAATGTGCTGGTACTTCTGAGGTCAAAAGGCACTTTTGCATTAAGGGCAGAAAGCATGATAGCACATTCTGGCTAGAGAAAAAATGGTAAGAGCCTTCAAAGCCATTCAACACTGCCACTGCTAAAGAGCACACGGCTATTCCACAGCAGCTCTTCTTCCTCCTTGCTTCTGCAGCTGAGCACAGCATGGTTTCAAGAGCAGACCACGCAAAGCTTGAAACAATCGCCATCGCTTTTAACATTTGTTTTCACAATGTTGAGGTTGGCGATAAGACCGCCCAGATTCATCAAAAGCCCCATTTCACCATACATATAAATAAATAAAAATCCAAGAATTCACTCTAGCATGGCTCATGCGAAACGGGCATTCAGGGACAACATAATAAGCTCTATAGATGCCAAGTTTAACCATCTGAAATTTTAAGACTTAAGAAAAAAATCTTAAATCTTAAAAATCATATTTCCAGGTGACGAGAATAAATACACACCAACAACAGATCCTGGACCACTTACCGTCTGGACAAGTGCTGCTAAAAGGAAGTAGTTCAGTTTTCCAGATCTGCACTTGAATGGAAGAATCAACTAAAATGACAGTTGAACTCGAAAGAAAACAAGAGTATAAATCACTTCCAAGTACATCCAAGAAGTTCTGGCTTGTTTCTTTAATTCACTCTACAAATACTTTGTATCATTTTAGTCCATAGGTATGTTGCATAAAATATCTTCTCACATCTGGGAATCTGAATTCACCGACTGAAAAATAGGGCATAGTTCATGCAAAACTGGAAAAAATTGAGGCAGGCCTTGTCTGCGAAGATCTCTGCTTACCAGAAGAGAGTCACAGATATGTAGCAGGCCCTCATTCATTCACTCATTTCTTGAACCAGCTCCACCACCATCCTTTGGCTGGTAATTCCTCTAACAGCAAAAAGCCCTTCAGTTCTTCCTATAGCTATCTGGAAGACAATTATACTAAACTATTATGACTTTTTGTTCACACTAATTCCATCTTCTAGAAAATGTTAATAGGGCTTTTACCTTCTAAACGAACTTTATAAATTATCTATCACACAGTTTATACTTGCCTCTCTTTCTTCATCAAGAATTCTTCATCAAGGATAGTTTTGTGATTTAAGATTTCCCTTAGCTAGGGAGGGATGATTCGCTTCTCTCTCGAACAGCAAGACCAAGGGCAACACTGTTTTCCCACACCCATCCCCTCCCAGGGAAAAAAAAAAAATCAAGAATAAAGTTATTTTTTTGTTGTTTAATACCAGAGAGAATGGTCTTTAACATATAACACCAGTACAAAGGTGTCACATTGTATTTGCCAATTTTCCACCAATTTTCCTCTTTCTACACATTGCACAAGTAAAACACACATTTCCTGCTAATTGCTGTTATATAGAAACAATTCAACAGGAAATGCTCCCTAAATATCAGGATCTTTATCCTTCAGTCCTCCCTTTCTTCCCCTTATGATGAGAAATTTATTTTTATGGCCAGTTGAGGTGTTCAACACGATGTTTATATTCTTAACTGCTATGTGAGTCCAATAGCTCTATGCACGTTCACAGAAGATGCGCTTACCTAAGACATAGTTTGGAAGGTCTGGTATCTTTTATTTTACATTAGAAGTTTCTCATATTCACCTGCACAGCTGAAACCTACTAAGCCGTTACCCATCATTCCACCCTGATACAAACTTGATTTTAGGAAACAAAGTTTTGCTTGAAGTAAAAAGGAAGAACACGAACAGCATAATACAATGTGTAAATACAAAAGTCAGACTTAAAAAAAATTATAATAAGAGTATGTTATTATTAAATTATTGCAAAAAGAAATCAGATTATTTGGATTATATCACAACGGTTATAAGCAAAAACCATTCCAGAAGGTTTTCCAACACTAATAAGCCAAAATATATGTCAAACGTCACAGGGTAAATACTATTTTCCCACATCTAAAGCAAGTATGTTGAACATTTTAAATCCTTACAAAGCATCTTAATTTTAAAATTATAAAAATGTCTGTTTCACTATCTCTCCACAGCAAGATTTTCTACTGGCTATGTAGAGAGGAATTTAAAAGGGCATAAAAATGCTAGATTTCTTATCAAAAACAAACACAACCTTTTTCAATCAAGAAAACAGCTGAGATGCATTCTGGAAGTAGGGAAATTAAGGATGTGTAAAATACTAAAAAAAAACGGAGTGAAATTATAAAACATTTAACTCAAAATCAGAATTGTTTTTAATGATTGCAAATTAACTTTTCACAATGTCAAGTTTCTAATTTTTCGCGCACACTATCTGGTAAGCACTTGAGTCTCCTCCTCCACGAATGACAGAGAGCAAATTTTCTGGGCTATACCGCTAAAAAAGCCTTGGAAATTTCTCAACATCTTGGCATCACTTAAAAAAAAGATCACACAATAATTTAGACAGCATTTATAGCATTATAAAATCAGAATCCCTCTCTTTAATCACTTACAAGAGCAGCCATAAAGAATACAACAGCTTTTAGGAATACAAATAATGAGGATGTAAAACTATCTGTGCAAAACTGCATTATATTTACTGTCTAAAATTTCAGGGAAGTAACACCGCCAGAAGCAGAGACACGGTAACAAAGACAAACAGTCATGAAAGTAACGCTACCTTAGATTTTCAAACAAGAATTACATCATGAAGTAAATATTAGGTAAAGAAAAAAAATCTGATGGCACCATGAAGAACAATGACAACAAATGTCCCAGAAAATGCCAGTTGACCCAGAACTGATACAAGTTCATGTTAAAGTCTCTTTCAGGAATAGTGATTGATTTGGGGATATCAACTCTAGCATTTCTTTCCATGCAAAAAATCTATCCTTCCAACATCTTTGCTTTGCGGGCTACTAATGCATTAAGAATGAGCAGTCTTTTGAGGAGTGTGCTTTCTTCCATGCATCTGAAATCTTTAAAACAGCTGGATCATTGATTCCCTGGATTTCCCTACTCCAATCCATTTAACTGTAGGAGAGAAAAGCAAACTATTATAAATAATCCAGAGCAAGATCTTATTGAATCTCCAGATGAGACACAAGCTTATCTTCTTAAGTGCTTAAGATCTTAAGTGCTATGGTCTGGAGAGAATGACACGATGTAGACTGTTAGTGCAGTAAGAAATAATAACAATGTGTATTGATCTAAAATAATGCACTGCTAATTTCAAAAATTAGGAATAGTTCTGAATGCCTGAGAAACACATCCATTTTCCAGGGGAGAGAATACAGAGCATCTGTAAGACAAGTAAAAATTTGCATAATCTTCTAATTCCCATCTTTGGATAGAAGAATATCTTTACCAAGAAGCACAAAAGCATTTCATTGGTGAGGAATCTCTTCCTGTCACATATTTTAAACATCACATTAGTACACCAGTAGTTTTGCTGACCTTTGCCTAATGGCAGCAGAATTAACACTTTTGTAACTGATGTGAAAAAAAGCAATTGATAAAAACCTCAGTACAACATGAACTACAGCACAAAAACACATACTGAAAGGACACATACTGAAACTTCTGACAACTTCCAATTCAACAATAAACAGATAGATTAGAAAAAGATGTAAACAAGTAGTTGCAAGAATCACCAGGAACTTAAGAATAAGCATAGCTTTAAAAAAAAGTCCAATTTTCAAGATTTTGGATGCTCATTATGGGATAATTAAAAAAAGACAATTTTCATGAAGCACAGGAAAAAAGAAAAAAGAAAAAAAAAAGTCTGCTTTACTTACCAGGAACACCTAGCTCCATTTCTATAAAGCGAACATAGTTCTGTGCATTTACAGGCAGCTCATCAAACGTCCTTGCATTTGAAATGTCTGTGTCCCATCCTGGGAGTGTCTCATACTGGACCTCTACTTTGTTTAAGACTTCGTGGTTGGCTGAGAAGCAAATAGACACAAAACTATTATGTCCGAAACCTTGATATATTCTCTACCATTAATCATATAGCTGTAAGCTTTCTATTCTCGTCTTACATGAAGAAGTTTGTTCAGCAGATAATACGAGCAGTGAAGGACCAAAGTTCTTTTTATTCATGGAAATGGAGAAAACAAAAATCCAGCAAATATCTTCAAGGATTCTGGCATTCAGCAGTCACTGGCATGCACTTTGCTTAAACAACAACCTGCATTTTTCAGGAAATTTAATTCCCAAATCTTTCTATCTATTTTTGCTTTTTTGCTGTACAAATACCAAGATTCAATTCTCCCTTTGCAAGGGAATTTGGATACAGTGAAAACAAAGCTATATACTAGCTTTCACGTGTCAGATGTTCATTTTACAGTGGCATGTGAATCTATTTTTTACTAAACAAATCCATCACAAGATGTACTGTTTCGACAATCTACTTCCGATGGTCATGGTGGACCCATTGCTCCAAACTATGGTGCCTACAGTTCACGAGCACTCCAGGTCTACAGCTATAGGACACTTGGATACTGCATTATGAGTCTTCTTCCCTGTACAGCAGAACCTGCAATGTTTATCTTCAGACATCAGAAAGTCTGTTCTTGGATATCATCAGTTATGGAGGATACATAAAATAAAATCTATAAGCAACCATTGTTGCTTAAAGCAACCAATCAACTAAGTGAACAGTAAATTGGTCCATTACGCTGGTTCCATAGACCTGAAAATAGGGAGTTACACATGATGCATGAACAATGACTTTGTTCCAATTGCTTCTCAGAACTGATACAATGTGTATATTCCATCTTGTCCTTTATACAATAGCTTGATATGGTGGTGTCCACCAGCTGTGAATCCTGTGATGCTCTCCAGTACGGGAAAAGAAGTTAAACATATTACTCTGCAATTGAATCATTCCAAAAATTGTATGAACACTAGTCTTAGGGTGATCTTCAGCAATGAAATAGATGCAACAAGCCTGAAGATGGATGAGAAACGTTCATAAAAAATTCTTAGAGAGTGTTTGGCATTCTCATTGTCCTGACAGTTCTACCAAATGCACAACAACGTTATTTAAGCTCTCCGATAACATGATCAAATAACTCCTGCAAAGACAGCCAGTCAGTTTTTGAAAGATGTCACAGGCGCAAGAGGCAAAAAAGTGCAAATAGGGAATCACGACTAATCTCCCTAGCATGCATTTAGCCAAACAAATCAGAATATTGAATAACCGAATAATTTGAATGTAATGAATTCGATTTTACTTTAAGGCCTCTCTGAAGAGGTTAGCTGGAAAAAAAAAGCTGGAAGTTGAAAGGACTTATATCTGAAAAGATTAATCTTTCTAGTACAAGAAGGGATATATTTCTTAATTTTTAAGTGATTTTTTCTTCTTGCTCCTACAGCTGTGGAACAGAGGATGATAAACACAAGCCATGAACTCAGCTCAGAGTAGATGATGTGGTCACCCTCTAGACGTCTCTGAGCTCCTCCTGCCTTAGGGGTTTATCATTTAGGCTTTCTGGAACATCCTTCATTAACAGCTGTATTAGATAAAGGAGAAAGCAAATGTAATTATATCTGGGAGTCTGATATATAATTTGGAGAGGGAACTGGGTGATATTACTTCCAGTTCAAAAAGAATAGTTGAAATTTGGAATTTGAGAATGAAAATAGCTTGCGAGATCCTCCAGCAATTTCAAGAAAATTAACATAAAACACAGCTACACAGATCAGACCAGAGATGCATTTAGCAGCATGTCTTGGCTCCATAACCAAAAGTAGATGGCTAAAGAAAAGCACAAGGAAAAGATAAACATGAAGCAAAGCTTTTCCAAAATACTTTCAACTTCCTAAGAATCTGTTCCAAAATTTCCTGAACTAGAGGTTGTGCCCTGTTGCATTAAGATCACCTGTCAACCAAACTTGTAAAGGAACATTGGCAGGGCTAGAACATGGCTTTGGCTTTCACATCTCTCCATCTGAATCCCCTCAGAGCTGGTAGGGACCTTCTGCCTTTCTTTCGTAAGCTCCTAGGGTTTAATATAGTTGACAAGAAAATCCAGGCCTCTTCCACAGCAGAAGAGCAGAGCCTCCAGGATACTAACTAAGGCCAGCTCTATCGTTACCAGATGTTTTGAGTTTGTTCTTAACAGATATGAAACTCTCACAGAACCCTAGGCTGAAAAATAGCTAAGAGGTGTAGGACACATCCCTGAAACAGACAGCACCTTTTAGCGACCTGAATGTGCAGCTCAAACTCCTGCCTGACACTTAAGCAAGACACTTAAGGGACCAGCAAAGGCAAGAACTTTTATTGACTATTAGAATTGTTAATTTAATGGAGAAAAAAATGGCTTGGGGGAGGGGCCACGTTGTGCAGTTATGACCAAAAGTCAGCATCTGTTACCTGGGTATAAGCAGGGAGCAAAGTGCCCCTTTCCTGTGGCACTCGGGGGTCACAGGAAGATTCTGGTCCCTTCTGGCCACATCTGGCTGCACAAATTGCTGGAATAAGGACCTATGCATATCATCTTTAATGGCAGATTGCCAAAGACAGTCCTCCTGGCTTGACCGAGAGAGAGTTCAAACAGCCCCCAGGTTAGAAGAGAGCGCTACAAATAAAGCACTCGGTGCAGAATCTTCGATTCAATCTTGCATTCTCCATTATGTTCAAAGGATAGGGACAAAACAATAGGGAAATGGTAGAATGTAAGAACATCAAAAAAGGTGGGAATGTGAGCTTTAAAAAGGGAAAAAACATTTCCTAGCTTAGTGCAAGATGAGCAGTAAACAACTTTAATAAATTTAATACGTGTCATCATACATATCATTCAATATACATCAAGATCACAGCTGGTACTTTTGTATGAAGATACCAGAGGACAAAACAACTTATAAAATTCCTCTAAGCACATAAAAAGGCAAAAGATTTTTTGTTAATTTCTTATGAATTTCCCTCAAAACACAAGTGTTGACAACTGACAAAAATTATCATTTATTCCTTTATACATAATTACATCTTTGTTTTATAAATCCTGTCATGAATCACATTTGCTTATTACATTTCCTCACCCGCAGAAATTCCCTGCTAGTGTAATCATAAAACATTATAACCTGCAAACAGCCATGCTGCAAGTAGCAGCGATCATGGATCAGAGACCCATGTGCAAATTAGAAAATCTCGTTTTCAGAACTGGTTGATGTTCTTCTTATTTCAGGACTATGTCACTACAGCAAACTGAAAAAAAAAAATGCATTACCCAGGAAATCACTGTTTTGAGTATTTCAACATGCAGACATATTCTTTCCGGTAAACCTGCTAAAATGAGCACTGTCCTCTCTCAGTGAGGAACTACAGTTTCTATGATGCTAAATAGACCTACACTGCTCCTGTCATTGAAACATGCATCCTTATGTTCTCCTAAACTAGCTGCTCTTTCTCTCAGCTCTCTCATTTCCACTGGGTTTTGGCTGCTTTGTGAACCATTAAAGGGAACTGACTCACTCAAAAATTAACAGAAATAGAAAAAAATAGGCTTTTCAATGGGATCAGTTCCATCAGCTCCACTCGACAGCTAAACAAAAGACTTGTTCCCCTACAAGAAAGCATCAATATAGTAGTGGGAATAGGACGCTGGGTTGAGAATGTGAAATGAAGAGCTCCAGATTCACCCTGAAGGTAATTCAGGCTATATTAAAGAAAAGGGGACAAGGCAGTAATAACAGTTATGTTTAAAAACTCGAGCTTTGTAAAGCAGTTGGCATTTTTCTGGTAGACAAATGACAATATGCAGTGCATGTACTTTAAATACAGTACAGGTCTTTTTGGTATATCTCAAAGGACACAAATGTCTTTATGCTAAAGTAACAAAGTCCTGTGATTTAGGTACCAGGTCACATTTTGCCAATATCTAAAAAGGTAATTATAAACATGCAAACTTACCAGGAAAATGAGGTATGATTTCACCATCTAATTTGTAAGCAACACCAACTTTGATTTCTGGAAATACGTCCAAGATATCCAACTTGGTAAGAGCCAAGCTATAAAGAAACATTACTCTGTTTAAACACATTTAACAGTTCTCAGTTCTCATCACTACAATTCATCTTTTTTTTTTCTTCCTTAGAAGAGAGGCAAAATTCAAAGAACAAGTATGCCCAATTAAAATGACTAATCTCTGTTTTTAAACAGGAGAATTTAACTGGTCAAGGATATCTACAACCATTCATATGAGATGGTTCTGCAGCATGATGCCTGTTGCTGTCAGCTCCTCTCCTCTGCCAAACGTTCCTGCCTCACTGTGACAAAACAGGGGGAAGAGAGGGAAATTGAATTATACCAGGTTTTAAGGCCCCTATAATGTCCTTGATTTGGTTAGTTTACGAGAAGAGGGGGCAGCAGCTTGAAGTTTCAAGCACTTTGAGCCATAAGCAGTTCTTGGATCTCTTTTTAATATAACTAAAAGGGAGAATTGACCAGTACAGAAATAAAAAAGTATAAAAATGATTACTGCTAGAAAAATGAGGGGAAGTTCATGTATTAACAAGAATAATTACTATCCTTGTCAAGCAACTTTATAAAAATCATAACACTAACTTTAAATCACAAGATATGTGATTTCCAGTCTCTTCCATGACATTTTGATTGTTTTAAAACCATAGAAATAAATGATGGTAAGAAACAACCAACCATCTGCTAAAAACCATCTAAGAGTCCCTTAGTCCAACTTCCTGTTTGAAGCAGAAGTAATTGCCAGGAGATTCCACCACTTCTGGGAACCTCTTCTAGAGCTACACTCACTCTCTTTATGAAGAGAGTATTCTTCAAGACTAGCCTCTAGATTTAGACAAAATACTCAGAACTGCAGGCAAAAGTTGTAGCTAATTATTTTATCTTTTGAAAATATTAGCCCTTTCAAGAAGGAAAAAATTTTCTTTCTAGCTAGGGCTATGGAACTCCATAGAAAATCACATCTTTATATAGTCTGTTTTCTATCAATACTAACAGACAAGTGTTGCTGACTAGCACAAGCACCATGTACAATAATCTGTCGCATATCAGGATCTAAAGTCAAGGTGCCAGCAAAGCTGTCCCAAACAACTCACGCAGTAAATCCATTGATCATGTAGACATATCGGAGCGATACAAGATCCAGCCAGCCACATCTTCTCTTTCTACCAGTGGTCACACCAAACTCTTTACCTCGCGTCTGCAGTAATTCTCCAATTTCCTAACAAAGAGCAGTACTGTTACATGAACCTTTCCATATTCACGGTATACAGTATACGCAGTATACAGCTGCATCACATATTTTAGCATCATTAACAATATTGTAAATTATCTTACAATTTCTTTCCCCCTTCTATATTTTACAAATCTTTCAATCAGATGGAAGAAAAACACACACAAAAAAAACCAACCAAACAAAACCACACACAAAATGCTGTTGCTAACTCAAGAGACATATTTGAGGAACTCTCTCAAAAGCTAATCCTTCTCTAGGCTTTTATTCCATAGGAGGTTTTGAGAAGCTGCCAATCAGATCTGGCAATTCTGCCAGATCTGGCAGAACGACACACCCAAACCACTGTCATCTGCTTGCATTTAACCAGCAATAGTGATTTAATGCAAGCAAAACAAAGCAACGTTGTCCGGTTACGGGTCACATAAGCGCAGGCTGTGCTTACATTATCTTGCTCCGTAGGAAAGGCACCGATGCCGACCCTGGTGGTGTAGGCTTTCACAACCCCGTACACTTCCCCCACGTTCTGCGGCGGCATGCCCAGGCCTGTGCAAACACCCCCAACCGTGCAGTTCGAGGAGGTCACAAAAGGATATGTGCCTGTTTAAAAATAATAACAACCACTTTAAATAATACTCTACTCTTAAACTATTAATAAAAAGTAAAAACTAAAATCTAACCAGGTAAGGAGTACTTCTACATTGCACTTTCCCAGATTTTACATAAAACACAATAATAAATGTATTTTATAAGCAACCACATACTTAATGAGCTCTTAGCTGGCGTGTATGTTGTCTGATCCTTCTTTATGAAAATATCAGAAACCTTCCAGGTTACTTCAACTGAATATCTCATGGATAAAATTAAAAATTAATAAATCTTACAATGTTGCATCAAAACATTTTCCTGTGACAGATCTATTTTAAGACTCCTTTCATGACTTGTTAAAAAGGAAGGTTCCTCCAGTATTCGTATTATTATGGAAAAACTTAGGGTCCACACTTTGTAGGGATTATTCTTAGACCTATCTTCCTCTTAAAGAAAGAAGTAGAAATAAGGTCTTAAGACGAGGCACAAAACTTGTACGTTTAAAAATATCAATATGTAAGTTTATATTTTTCTATAAATTTATATAATAAAAATATTTAAATATCTTAATATCACAACTCCTATTAGTTGAAAGTAGAGTGCATGCTAACTTTGTTTTCGCTTGACAGTAATCCTCATGGGCTTCAGTTTCAGGCTTAAGCATCTTTCTAAAAGTAAAGTGTTACAGCTACGATGCTGGGAAGACTGAAGAAAAATGAATGTGGCAGAACATAGGAGCCAATTGCGTAGGTTTCTTGTGCTTAAATTTGCAAATAACAATTTGTGTGTCCCTCGATATAGTGATTGCATAATAAAAAAAGCTGTTTCTATCAAGAAGTTTCTCTCATTAGCAAGTTTACCATCCTTTCAGACTTGTACTATTTATACTATTTATAATCTCAAGTTTTCTGTAATAATCTTTCCATTTTTGTCTCATTAGCAACCTGTTTCCAGTCATCTCTCCTTGCACGGTAAAATAATGAAACAAAGTACATAGAGGGCTTAAAAAGCTTTAAAGAAGCTTTGGAAGCTTAAAAAGCAAGTGTATTCTTCAAAGTTAAATATTTTTCATATATACTTTGTCTCTCTATTAGGGAGCATTAAAAAGCTACCAGTTTTTAATTCTGAAGTGTTTTCCACATACCTACAATTACGAATTATTTCATACGAAAGGTACAGACACTGAAGTATGTAGCAGTTACACTCTATTTAAGAAAAATAGTTTACCTGCCTAATCCTTTCTGTCATTCAAAAGATTAATCTTGGAAGAGTTTAAATGTTTTTAGAAGAATGCAATTAAAACATTATTTTTTTTTTAATTCTCAGAGTATATTGTTCTCCCAAAACACAAAACAATTCTTCCACAAAAGCAGGTATGGATAAAGCAGTTTTTAAGTTCTCCTTTCACAGCATAAATATATAGCAGCACATTTCTCAAAGAGGCTATACCTACCAAAATCAATGTCCAGTAGGGCTGCATTTGCACCTTCCACTAAGATCTTCTTTGGTGATCCATGCAAAGCCTCATACATAAAATAGACACCATCCTTCACCATTGGTTTTATTTTCTCCATGTAGCCCTGAGTAATACAGAAGATTAGTGCCTAGCAGAGTTTCACTATGATAGACAACCACAAAACTGTTCCCTGCAAATGTCTAAGTGCTATTCCTTTCTCATAACAGCAGCGTTAATCCTTTTGAAAAGAAAAGGCAAAGGTAAAGAAATGCTAAATAAATATGTGCCAACATGTGAGAAAGGGAAGGAGAAACACAAGGCTCACATTTACTCGGCAGACATGTAGACTCTTCCCAGCAAGAAAAAAACCCATACACACACAAACATACACAAATTCAAACTGTTGAAGTATTTTATACGTTTTAGAAAGATTCAGGCTCGAGAAAAATCACAATATTTTACTGTATTCAGCATTTCATTTACAAGTTTGGGTTTTGTTTGTTGGTTTTTTACATTTTCAAAACTACTCCAAAACCAGCATCTGGAGATGCTACTGGCCCTCTGAAGCCAACACTCACAAACACACACAACGCATAATAGTAAAGCAGCATTCATCTCTGTTTTGATTTTTTCATATATGTTTTACTGGAATTAAGGGCAAACTACCTAAATACTTTTAGGATCTGGGTGTAAGAACCCAACAATGTACTGATTAGCACTTGGCATATAGCCTTCTTCTCATGAAAACATATGGAAATTCTTAAACTAATGATTCGCTTCTCATGAAATATAGCAGCTTTACTCTCTCAGAATTTGATGAATTACATCAGTATAAAAGCAAACATAAAGTGCAAGTAATTTTCCCAAGGCTACACTGCATATTATGCTTTCACGCCAGCAATGATGCTCTGTACTCACAATATATATTAAAGTAAACTGAAAAACATTACAAATCATTCAGCTATTATTGACTTTCAGGTCTACATATAGATAAAAGTTTTATAGTTCAAAATGTGTAAGTGATATCATTTAAAGCAAGCCAAGCAGAAATGCTAGAACTCCCACATACTGCTTTCTAGACCTGGCAAACTGTGTTTAGTGGCAACTAAAGATAAAAGGACAATTTTCTTTGGCCTGATCTTCTAAGATAATTAACTGTAACTATGTAACTGTGTGTTCCCACCCCCGTTCCACACATTCCTCCATGTTTTTAACTGTTTTTTTTTTTAATTTGGCTGAAGCCTTCTGAAGAGTGAAAATGTCAAATTGATTAAAGTTTCTACAAAATGCATTGGAAGAGAAAAAAAAAAAAGAAGCTTGGTAAAGCTAAGGCACTCGACAGTTTTCCACATAAGAGCTTGGCTTACAAGGCTTGCAAACTAGACAGAATTCTCACAAGTGCTCCAGGTAAGGGAAAACGTCAAATCAGAATTCATAATTTCCAACAAAGTAGTATTGTGGTTAGTTAATCAGCCTTCATTAGATCTGCAGCTATCAAGTTGCTAGTTAACTGTATACAAAAATGTTAACTTTTTTGAATAGAACAGGATACATACTACAATTCTCAAGGTTCTGACAAGAGAAATGCATATTTTGCATTACAATGAAGACATGCTATCCTGAATTACAATCTTATTTTTCCAGCCACTATGTTTGAGCAAGCAGAAAGGCGAGAAGAATTCTCCTTAATTATGTTTTTTTTAGTGTTAACAATAGCTCTTTAAAACTATGTTCTCAAATGCTGCAAAAAGCGGCATCAAAAGAGTCTTTCAGAGTACCTATTCTTAAAAACAAAGAAATAAATCCTGCACAGAGCGATTATATCATTGAGCAGACAGAGGCAGGCTTACCTTCAGCTTTTTCAGCTCCCCTTCAATGTCTATCTCTAAGGTAGGGTATATAGCTTTGTACTGATTGGCTAACACTTTAAACCTGAAAGGCAAAGATTTTTCATTAGGGTTTTTTGTTTGTGTGCTTTCCTCCCCCACTTTAGCATTTATTGGTTACACGCCTACAATGATTTTGTGATTTATTTGTTTTAAGCAGAACAATACACAGAAAAAAAAAAAAACGTAACAGCAGACAGATGTAATTGTTTACACAGAGACTTAAAGCTTGAAATTGTGCATTAAAATATAGAAATTACCTCTCAGAAAATTCATCAAAATCAGAAACAAGATCACACATTCGGAGTCCACTTCGAGCAGCTTTTGAGGAATATACTGGCCCAATTCCTTTCTTGGTAGTTCCCAAACTTTCAAAAGATAATAATGCAATTATTTTTTCTTAAGAGCTAATATATATTTAGAGCAAAAATCAAATGCTACTATTGCAAACATTTAACATCTTGATGCACAGAATATTTCTGATCTAAAAGTTAATTTCAGAACAATACGGTTTAAGGATATACCTTCCATATACTTATTTTTAAAGTAATGTCCCTTCATATTTTAGTGAAATGCTTTTCTACAAAAAAAAAAAAAACAATTTTTTTCTCTGATTTTACACCCAAAGTACTGAATGTCAAGACAACACCCTTTGATAGTATGAACTGAAACTAAACAAACAACTTCCTGTGAAGTTATTTCCTAAAGAGATAAAGAGAGTCCTTGTTAAAGCCACAGAACAGACAGTGTGGATTTCAAGTTTGTATGAGAGAAATCATTAATAATGAAAGCTTCTGTTTAAGCTGGGAAAATAAAATCACTGGTCAATATCTAAAAGTGACTTTGATGCTCAAAACATATGCAAGAAACAGTTCAGGAATACATTTTACTACAGCCAGTTCTGAAAACCCAAATTACTTACCTTTACCTACCTATCTTTCCTGACAAGCAGATAGAATTGAGAATTTTTTTAGCTTGTGATAAAATATAGTTTACTGTCACAGAACTACAGCTAGACTTAGACCCTTTAAACTCCTTAAAGACTCCTTAAAGAATGATATAGTAAGCAGCAAAACCAGCATGCTTAACATGAGCAACACTGGCAGAAACCAGTGAAATGATATTTTGAAAGACAGCACATTAAAAGACAGTATCTTTATTTATTTAATTTAACTTATTTTTATTTGTTTTAACTATTGAATAAAAATGTAGGTTTTCAGACAATTCTGATGCAGGAAGAACCTCGTTCAGATTTTCCTAAACTACATCAGTTCAATAGGGATTTTAATGCCCTTGTATTTGGACTTTACCTGCTATTTAAAATTTCAGAACCTGCTTGCCTTCCCCTTCGCACTAACAAAGTTGATTAAAAAGTCGTCATTCCCTATGTCTAACCTAGGGAGGCTAGAGTAATAATTCAGTCACAACATAAAAGCTGTGGTACTGCAAGGCCAAATCCCAGAACAGTGCTAGCTTCCCTGTCAAGTTAGACTATTAACAACTAGGTTTCAGAGTTAACATACTGCCTTTTTATATTTTAACTCCTAAAAATGAAAAAAAAGGAAAAGGGAAAAAAAAAAAAGGTAACTCAAGGAAAGACATGCTTAAAGGGTCACAGTATAAAATTCAGAAAAGACGGAAAAACCTTAAAAGGTTAAGACTGATGGAGAGAGGAGAAAAAAAAAATAGATTATTAAAATCAGACTCAACTTTGAGTTATTTCCGGGAGTGGTAATGCTTGCCTTCTGTATGAAACCCAGGACATCTTGACTTAACTTTGTATAGTACAGTATCATTTAACTAAAGCAGAGTGAGGCTCCTCACTGACTAGGAGGAAAGTGGTTATTTCCTTATTGGGTATTCTCTTAGTCTTTAACATTGACTAATAGAGTAGTTCACTCTCACAAGTGGCCAAGTGACTCAGTGTTTTTAACCATAAATACTGTCATACATTGGTTTTATTTTGTACTCCACAAACACACTACAGAAATATCTGATATACATATGGGCTTAAAAAAAAAAACAAAACCCTTCCCCTTTGCTTTTTAAAGTTTTTTAAAAGGTAACAGGCAGTAACAACCTGTGTGAAAAAAGTATGTTTCACTACATTTTGCCTAAATCAGACATTCTCTTAATGCCCAAATCAGACAAGGGTGATACCTTTTAAAAAACTAAAGTTTCAGTAGGGAAGACTGAATTAGTTTCTATCCACTTAACACAATCTTCCCCCAGGAGAGGAATTAAGTTTAAGTTTTTATCTTAGAAACCCCTACAGTGATGCATTACTTTCCAATTGTAGATGTGTTATACTGTTCATTCTGACACCTCCTTCTCCATCCCCCAAAACTGGCAAGACAATTGGAAGTCACAAACTAGAAACGTAGTGCCTAGTTTTTATAAGTTGCAAGAATTTCATCAAGTCAGCAGCAGAATGTAACAGACAGCATGAATATTAACACGCACTTCTGAAAACAAAGCTCACTGGGTACCCTACTAGTCCTATCAGACTTCAGTTATTCGGAGATCTAATGGTCTTTCAATCTTTATAAACAGATTTTTTTTTTTTTTTTTTTTTAATCATTTTTTCTGATACACAGTTTAAATACCAGGAAGCAGCAACTTTTTCAGCAAATTAGGACACAGGAACTTATTCACATGGAGAGAAAAAAAAAAAAAAAAAAAAAAAACAAGTCCCTTCCCTTTTGTTAAGAATGTAATATATTGCTTGCCACTGTATACCAGAAGTGTAAGAAGCAATCCTTGCATATTCCACATTAAAGACTTGCAAGGAACAATTAATGCCATTTTAAACATGATGACAAACAATAAATGATATCTCCAAGGTTCTAAGTCACATATGTTTCCTGTGTTTGACAAAACAAAACTACATACTTCTTTCCTGCTTGTTCTCTTTGCTGTTCTTGAATTCCATCAGCAGCTTGGTGGAAGTCAAATACTAAGAAAATGAAAAAAAAAATCCCTTCAGTAGAAAATTTGCAGGAAACAAATAACCATAACCATAATGATTTCTACAAAACCATCATTTACCACAAAAGCATATACAAAAAGAGAGGAAACTACAGTGACAAGAGTCTTTTTTATTCTTTTATGTTTCTTCACAGCAAAGTGCTCTATGGTGATTTTTATTTTGTAGACTACTCACAGGCTGCATATCCATCTCCCACAGATTAACTAAGCCATTCCAGCCTAATAATAGCCCAAAATAATGTACAGATCACAAAGAGCAAGAAAACACCTAATAGGAAAAAAATCCTGAAAAATGGATCATAGCAGTCATACTGATGAATTTTAAGGTAGGGACTTTAGAATGTTTTCATTCATTCTACAGAATTCTTGAGTCATGTTAACTTTAGCAAGACTGCAGTAGTAGAAATAAATTTGGATAAAATCTTCCACCATTGATTAAATAAACCAATACAGAACAAGACCCAGACAGAAGTCATCTTCACAAGTAGTGCTGTTTTTGTTTTTAGCAATGCATACTCACAGCAACAAATCACAAAAGAACCCTTACAGTTCTCCATTTACCAAAAAATAAATACAACAAGACTCATAGCAAATATAAACACATCTGCAGCAGCTTACAGGTTTACAGAAAATAGACATTTCCACGTTACCAACTTATTTTTCTTAAGCACTGTGTCCTGAAAGTTCAACAACTAATCCATTTATTACACAGGAAAAAATGGAAAACTTACAGCTGACTCATTCAGTAAGAACTCTTGTTCAGAGCAATCTAGCACACTAGAGCAATCTTCCTCACTCTCCTTACCAAGTTGCTTTTGCATTTATTTCCACATTTCCCCATATTGCAAACATTAAATCATCTCGAGGAGCTTGAACCTATTTTGGATGATCTTTTGTTACAGACTAAGAATACAATTCACAGACTACCAAAGCCCATTTCATATAAGGCATATTTATAATGGCAACAGATCTCCAGACCATCTTCAAAATCCTTTTTAATAGCATTGATGACTGCCTGGTTGTTCCTAAGAGGTTGAGTGATTATAGGTGATAGGCTTGGTCCTTTTTACTCGGTATCTCTTTACCCATGAAAATCTTTACAATATTGCCATTGTAATATAACCATTGCACACCATTTCTAATAATCTAGTTGTTTCCAAAACATTTGCTTGCAGTTACTCTTTTTCCTCCAAACTGAATAATTATTGCAAAGTAAAAGCAGATTTATTTTGAAATAGCATGTTCATCTGCAGTTACATCAGATCTCCAGATGAGATTAAAAAAAAGTGCCATAAGCTTTTGTCTGATCAAAACCCCCAAAAGTTTGAATCTTCAGAACCTAGGTAACCACATGAACAAAAAGCTCATTTCCCAATACATGACAACTATGTCCCAATGACTATTTCAGAGGATGAATTTATGCAATAAAGATGGTCTAGAGGACATACAGGAAAAGCCTCCAGCACGGAAGAGGCCTCTAGCCTTTAGCTCTCTTTTGGCAGCTTGGACTCTAAACATGATTTTATCCAAGTCTCTGAACTGAAGAGCTGTCTGGAACGTAATTTAGGGTCAAAATTTGGCTCATGAGCTCCCTGACAGGAGCCTACAACCAAAAGGAAAGTCATTCTCTCAATCCCTAGAGTCCTTCTCATAGGCACTCCCATAAGCCCTCTTTTCTGAAGTACGTAGCAATTTAGTTGGGAGGGAAGTCTCTAGTTTGGAAGTCATGAAAAGTCACACGGTTTCCCACCAGAAAAGCTTTTTCAGGAAAAAACAGCAAAACCACTTTTACAATAGGGGAGATATTAATCTTCCTGGCAATTAAGTTCCAAAGTGCTTCTTGACTGTTTTTCACATTTAGTTTTTGGCTTGGAATGTGAACTCAGTTTCCTGTCTAGCATATGATTCTAAAGAGCCACTGGGGTATGAACCTGGGAGAGCATCCCGGCACCCAGGATCTTCAACCACCCAAAGCAACCAGAACAACACTTAACATTCAGAGGTTTAATCCAAAATAATTTTATATATCAATGTAAAGAGATGAGTAAAAACTTTTACCTTTTTAATGCCATGGAAAGTTCAGAGAAGCAAAAATAAAATAAAATTGGAGAACTTACCAATATGAGCCCTGTCAGAAATTATTAGTCTCTTTTCCCAGCCTTCTAGCCCTTAAACAAAAGTAAAATAGTTCAAGTTATGCTTTGTATAGCATTTTTCTCTTTCAGTGTTTAATGGAGAAATGTTTTTCATGTTTAGTCATCATTTAAAGGATGAGCAAATACCTTCCACATGTAAATTTCAGTAATTAAAGTCTGACATTAGCCTATAAAGCTAAGGAAATCAGGCTTATTTTTGAGACGAAAAAAATTCTAGGCATTTTACTTGTTTCTCAATTTCATAACAAATTAGTAGCTTTTTCCTTTTGAATAATTTAGACAGTTGATTTACTTGTTTTGGCCATAATATCAACTATCAAGAAGGCCATATGCAACATTTTAAAAGCAGTATCTTAAAATAGTCTCACCTTTTCCTTTCTTCAGATTCTTTTCAGCTTCTTCAAAGAGTCCTGGCAAATGAATTACTACACCATTTCCTAAAGAAATTAAAAATCAGTATTATAAAAAGTTTAGTGTATTATGCTGAACACGGAAAAAAAGTTCCAATCAATTCAGAGACATCGTGCTTTGCATGAGGAGTATTTGTTTAATTTTTAAATCTTTAATACATGACTGTTTTCATTCTTTGGAAGCTATCACTAATAATGAGTTTCTGAATACATAAATTAATCTCTTTGAAAAGCTTAAACTCCCAGTTTAGATCAGTAATAGTATTGTGGGACAGCCTGGAATACAACTTTCTCGTCCTGATTTCTCTAATTTCTCTTTTTGTTTTCATTTTAATAAAACGACTGATTTTTAAAAGCTTAGCTCAGTCCTGGCATCATTAAAAACATTACGTGGGCATATCCCTGGGCATTCCTCTGTAAATAACTAAGGAATATTGTGTGAATAGAGGTGGCGTTGTTACCAGACTAACTAAAATAACAGAGGAAAAAAAAGCTCCAACAATACAAGCTCATTTTGCTACAGGGAACTGAAATTTGCCATCCTTTCATGTTGCTCAGAGAAAGGTTAGCAGCTCATAAAGTTAAGCATGGTTTACAAATGAGCATTTCCATACAACAAAACTGAACCATTGTAAGGGTATGCCAAACCCAGCAGACAAGAAGCAGTCAGTACAACATCTACCCAGCATCTATAGATCCCGGCTTCACATTTTACTGTCACTGCCCTAAGCCTTCTACTGCACCATCTTGAGAAGACCATTTGACAGGAACCTACACAGTGGAGAAATCTTCTTCGATTCAGTATTCACTCATTCCACTGTGCAACAGAAAAGGGAGAAAAGACCTATGTTGCAAAATGCACTGGTAGTCACTCAGGAAAGCTGAAGACTAGAATAGGGAGAAACTGTCTAAATAAAAGTGATAAAACAGTAAAGAAAGTAAGAGGAAACAAGGAAGGGAAAAGAAAAGAGAATTTAGATAAGCAAGTGGTTTGCAGTGACACGATAGATAAGAACAAAGATAGACTATGCAACACAATAAACCAAAAGAAATACCCAGAATCCAAGCTTCACAATTTAGCTAAGACATTAACAAAGTAGTAGAGTTGCTTCACAAATGGAGTCCAGGCCCCTGTGAGTTTTAAGGAAGAAAAATCCTGATCGTGTATGTTCTCATGTATCTTCTTTTTTATTATTTTAAGATGTCAAAGACTGCATTATTGTGTGACCATTTCTGTTTTAGAGATGTCTCACTTACCAATGAATGATGTAACTTTTGGATTGATGATGCCACTTGGCAGAAGATGAAAGTCATACTCCACAGAATCCACAACAACGGTATGACCTGCATTATTGCCTCCCTGGAAAAAAAAATCTTTTTTTTATATTCAAGACAAATAAGCACAAGAGCACAGAGGTGAAGTAAACTAATTCCACTTCCCATTCTGCAGCTTTCATTTCTGTTACAGACAAAAGATCTGTAACAGACTTGCTGCTTTCCACAAAATCAGATGAACTTGTTTTGTCTAAATTGAAAATTTCAGCATCAGTATTTTCTGCCGTACAGACTTTGGTGGCTATTTTGGTTCACCAAGATACAAAATCTTTGGAATAAGATTTATAAAGATGTTTCTAAAAATTATTGGACAGAAGCATACGTCTTCTAAAACATGCAAACATTTCTTAAGAAAAACGAAGTCATTAACAGGGATCATAAACATTAAAGTCAGACTGCACCCTCAGCAAAGACAAAAATCACCAGTTAAACAAGCACATAAAACCACATAATAGCGCTACTAGTGCAAATCAGCCCAGCTGTTCATGCAACATGCAAACTTGTTGTTCTGCATCTGGGGTTGTCTGCTGGATAATTCTCGATGGATGGCAATTGGCAAAGCTGACTAGTCCATTCTGTGCTTCTCCAGACAGAGGAGAGGCCTGTTAGATGGCACAGCACATTCACAGCTGCAGAGTGCTGCTAAGGAAAGAATCTGACTAACGCAACAAACATAAATATGGTTTCACTAAATTACAAACTGGTACTCATCAATTCACATTTTTTCCACTATCTTGAGGTACATGTGTATTAAAATTTGTTTAATTGTGGAATATGACTAAAATACAAAAAAAAAAAAAAAAAAGCCTGTATCCAGGTCTTAAGAAGGGTCAAGATAAGCTTACGGAACTTAAAAGATTATTACGCAGCAGTTACCAAATATCTCCGGTTCTTGTCTGTTGTATTTCTGAAAATGAGCTTACATGTTCTCATGACCAAGTTCTTTGTGCTAGACAAGGTCACGTATAAAATGGCTGTTTGTTGTAATTACAGAAACAGCATTTAGAGGTACCTAGCACTAGAAATCCAGTCAACTGCTTCACAGAAATAGACTTAACAATTGAAATCTTATTTTTGTGCGGTACAAGACAAACTTGAAATAAATTTCCAAAAGAAACTTTATGAAATATTAATCCATGGAATTATAATCCTAAAACTTTTCCAGTAGTTTGTAGCAGGTTTTTTCTAAGCAACGGACTTAGCGACTCACTACGTTTAGAACTTTACAAAGCACAAACATATTACACAATATAGTACATATAATATATACAATACTAGTATAAGTAGTCAGCAAAAAGCAGTCTACATATAACAAACATAAGACAGAGAATATATATTGCAAGTTATTCCAAAACCATATAATATTCTCAGAACTGTTAAATTATACCAATACGAATTAGGCAAGCTTTTTTAGCGTCTGTGAAGAAAAACAAATTTTCTTCTTGACTCAAATGTTTCAAATTCTAGGGAAGAATCCTTCCCTGGGGAGAAGGAGAGAAAACAGAGATACGCACGAAGTTGCATTACAGTTTAGCATATCTACTACAAATGCTGGTTTTCTTCCTCACCAGGTTCCTTCCATTTTTTCCTCTCCCCTACATTCACGGGTAATATCAGGGCAAAGAAATTTGAAGTGACTACTAAAGTGTTTCAGATTAAAGTTCAATAGGTCTAAGTACAATGCGAAAGGACTTAGGAGTAGGAGTGTTTTGCAACTGTGAAAAAGGATGGAGGAGAGTCCAAACTGTCCCACTGCAGTGTAAATAACCAGGACTAAACCACGAGCAACCTTCTGATTAGCGAATAACTTGAAATTAGTCATGGGATCTCTATGGGATTTCATGTTTTACTTCATAAGTTATTTCAAACAAATAGGTTCCTAGCAAAAGTCTACACAATGAAAGAGGAGAGAAAAAAAAAGGCCAGATTAGATCATCAGATTCGATTAGAGATTAGATCAGGATTAAAAAATTCTTAGTCTTTTAAAGTTCACCAGGTTACTGGTGCCATTCAGAGACAGTAACATAATGTTCAGTGGTCACATCTGCTTGAGTAGGGTGCAAAACAGAGAGGTTCAGACTGTACTAACCATGAGAACATACCTGCCATTTTTGGGGAGTGTTAA